TCCTGCTATTCTCAAACACAAAAGCTGCACTCACCTCCAGGCCTTTGCACCTGTGATTCACCTCTACCAGAGACCCGTCCAGCTTCCTGCTTCCCTTTCAGTCTGAACAGAACGGTCACCTTCTCTGTGACATCTTCTTAACACTTAGAAGTGGAACCCCAACATCGTCTCTGCTGGTCTCTCTTCTCCACAGCACTTACCACCACCCGATATACTCTATATTCAATGCTGTATTTACTGCACATAATTTTAAAGCTTTCTAAAAGGTGGGGGGAATGCGGTTTCTGTTTTGTTCACTGCTGTACTCACTGTCTAGAACGGTACATACATAGCACATAGCAGGCCCTGTGTAAAAGACTGAATGAGAAGAGTAAGTCCAACAATGTTTAACACTTTAAAAAACTGGATTGTTTTTACTTTCAAAGGTCAGCTCCTGGCATGTGCTGTCCTCAAAAGGCTCTGACTTTCTTATTCAAGTATAATCTCTTGCTTGCTTTTTCTCGTTTAAATTTTAATATGGAAAATGTCCACCACACAAAACTGAACAGCATAAAACAACTCTCAAGTCCCGCCCCCTCCCCCCCACCGCCAACTCCATTCAAATGATTATCAACACTTCACTGTCCCTGTTTCCTCGAGCTCCCCATCTTCTTTCTGGAGCTGCTCTGCTTTTCCCTAACCCCACTTAGAGGCAGCAGCCATTGCAACCTGGCAAATTAAAAGGAAACGCCTGTGGGTGCTTGGGTGTCAGGTGCGCACAAGCCTCCCTGAAAGGCGTCTGGGGGCAAAGGTGAAGTTAGGAACTGAGGGAACTCTGCCAGCAACCGCAGGTCCTCAGCATCATTTCTGCTCTGAAAAATCAACCCAGAGCACTTGGCTCTAAATCCCCAACTTTTAAACCTGTCATTAAGATCTGCAGCTAGAAAAAGTCTGGTCTTAGCTTCTCCTATTTGGACATCTGGGAAGATCATAAGATCACATTTTCCTTGATACTTGAAATATCATAATCTAATAGACTAGGCTTTAGTTCCAGAAGTACTTCTTTATTTTGGTAACACCTACTTCTTGCTTGCCAATTTTTATCATAAATCTTAAGTTTTTAACCTCTCCATCTTCCCTCTTTTTCTTGATTACATTCTATAAGCACTTCTCTACATTTTACTTGAAAAGCATGACCTTTTTGCCTTTGCAGCTCTACTGCTAAAATTACACATTAGGAAATACACATAACTAAAATATATATCAGAGCTGAAAAAGAAAAAATAAAATACAGGGCTTCCCTGGTGGCTCCATGATAAAGAATCCACCTGCCAGTGCAGGAGACATGGGTTTGATCCCTGGTCTAGGAAGATCCCACGTGCCCGGAAGCAGCTCAGCCCGGGCAGCACAACCACTGAGACTGAGCGCCCCGGAGTCCTTGCTCCCGAGAGACACCACTGCAGTGAGAAGCCTGGGGCGCGCGAGAGCAGCCCCCGCCTCATCGCAACTAGAGGAAAGCCCGTGCAACAACAAAGACCCACTGCAGCTAAAAACAAACAAAAATCTTAACAATGAAATCTCTAAAAAATTGTCTAAATAAAATTACAGAGATAGAGAATAAATTCAAGGTTTCCAGGGGTCAGTGAAGGGGAAAGTTGTGGCTATAAAAAGAGTAGCAGGAATTCTTGTGATGAAAAGTTCTGTATCTTGACTGTGTGGTCACTCACATCTACACACATGATAAAACCACACAGAACCAAATACACACAAGTGTGTGTTAAACTGGTGAAATCTGAATAAGCTCCACGGACTTCACAAATGTCGATCCCTGGTTTTGATACTGTGGGACAATTTTCCAAGCTACTGACAATGGAGGAACTGGGGGAAGGGTACACATAACTTCTCTGCACTGTATTTTGCAACTTCCTATGAATTTTAAATTAAAGTGTTTTAAATGAACACTGGTACATACTTAAAAACCTCTAGTACTTAGAATTATCCAGTAATATAATAGCACTTACCTTTTTCTCATAAAAAACAAACAATTCTGTAATTCTGAAATCAATAATTTTGTCAATGTTACCCATTTTAAAATATTATGTTGGAAAGATTGGAAATTCTGTGGACATACACACAGTGCATACAAAGAACATAAAATTACAAGTAGCAAAATGATAAACTGCTCAATGAGCTGTCCCACACATAACTGCTTACTAAATGCCACACTGTTTGGGACATCTCAGCATGAGACCCTCCCACAGAGATATAAACCCCTTGAGGGCCCAGTATGGACAGCAAGAAGCTAGGGAGGCCAGCATCCAGAGTCCACAGGGTCACAGACTAACATGCGGGGACTTCAGTTTTGAAGCATCAAGCTTCACAAAACAAAAAGGAGACGAAGTCAGAGCCAAATCAATTCTCCAAGTCTGTGGCATAATGAAATCTCAGAAGTCCTCCCCAACCAGGGTTCCTTACTGTGAGTCAGTTACCAATTTGGCATAAAGATCTAAGCAAACAGGTTTTCTCCAAGGGCACACATATAGTTCATAGTGCCAATTCCCCATAACTGGCCCAACCAATTTCACTCAAATCCCAAGGCGGCTAGATTAAAAGAGAACCAGAGGAAAACAGCAAGATGGAGAGAGCTAGCCCCACTAAAATAAAATCATAAAGCAGCAGGACGTTCCATTGAACAGAAGGCCCTTTCCCCTGTTTCAAAAATAAAAACACCGTAAGAAACAAATGGAAATGCTACTTATTTTTATTACTTTGGTGTTTTATTTTAATACTTGGGGAAAAAAAACAAAACCAAGTCTACAAACTACTGGCCATCCACTGTCCTCTTCGCGCAAAAGCTCAGAAAACAAACAAACATAAAAAACCCCTAGCTTCACAGATCACAGCCACCTCAGGGGCTCTGGTTAGGGATATTTTCTATTCTTACACATGTGCTTTAAAAATTAGGTTCAACAACAACAAAAATCCATATCCAACTGGCCCAAGAGGGAAGAATTCTGGTGGACAATTGGACTACTGTGTTGCAAATTAAACTGTTCACACCTGCAGAATAATCTCACCAGCATAACCAATCTACCCTGGAATGCAGCCCCACTGTACCAAAAGGGGGATCTCTTCTTCCACCAGATCCTATCTTTCCACTGATAAACTCTCTGGATGAGAAAACCAGCAGCAGATGTGAAAGCCACATGGCCCTCTACAAAGCGGGAGAGCAAAAAGCAATGTTAAAAGAAATGATTCCTTAAACAGCAGCTCCCTATCCAGAATGAAGATTTTATCACTGAACGCTGACTTTGTGGAAAGCAAGCTATTAGACACTGTTCTAAGGCTTCAGCTAACAGCATCCAGCTGAAATCCAGGAGCTGGACTCACTTAGCTACGCCCTTGTTTTCAATTCTTGGGATAGGGCCAATATGTAAAGTTAGAATATAACAAATCCAACTGCCAAGGGAAAGAAGACAATGTAGGTACTCTTACTTAATGCAATCAATAGGCTCTGAGCACAGTTTATACTGCAAAGATTTTTATTTTGTGAATTTTACCCTTTGAATAATTTCTTCCTAATGATTTCCACACTCTCCATCAAAAAATATTAGCCAACATCCCCTTTTAACTGATGCTGTGGCAATCAAAAATCCTGAAAACTTTCTCAAATTCATATTTAAGTAGAAAAACATTTTGATTAAGCAAACTGCTTCATAACAGGGTAAAATCATAACAGGGAAATAGAGTAAAACCAGAAACTCTCTGTCTTGTATTCCATTGTCATTTCACTGAACTACCATGGGGTCAGCCAGCTCTAGAGTCTAAGTTTGGGCACAGTTTTCACCACTCTCAAACTGCCTTAATATTTTTAACTTCACATTCATGGCAGTGTTTTAGATTTTTAATGTGTAGTTTTTCTACCACTTAATGTCTTTTTTTTTTTTGGCCACATGACCCAACATGTAGAATCTGAGTTCCCTGATCAGGGATTGAATCCGCACCCCTTAGAGTAGAAGTGTGGAGTCTTAACTGCTGGACCTCCAGGGAAGTCCCTCCTACCACACAGTTTCACCAAATTCTTTCTCCTAAAGGTATAGCGACTTGTGTCAAAGGCATTATAGGATCTACAGATGGGAAACGGTAACCACTAAACAGATTACTTCTTTGGGTGATATGGGCCATGGATACTCCAGTGTCTTCTGGGAAACACAGCTGTCTGTGAAAAGCCAAGTGATCAGCAATCACATTAACTCTTCACCAAGAAGAGAAATACAAGACCAACTTTAATGGCATAAATGCCTGCCTCTTAAAGCATGGCCAAAGCCACACCAGCTTCAGCTGGTAGAAATGCAGACTAGTGTGGGCCACACCCCAGACCTCCTGAATCTGAAACTGCATTTTATCCAGACCCACTGTGATTTGTACACACAATAAAGTCCGGCCTAAGCTATCTGCCACCATCCCACTCCACCAGCATGTGGCCCAGAGCAGGCACGAGATGGGGGAACGCTGATCTGCAATTCCCTCGGTAGGTCTCAGTTCTCACATGCCTCTCGCCTCGCTGCATGGAATTCGGGTGTCTGAAGGGTAATTTGGACCATACAGTGGAACATGATGTCACTGTTTTGTCCTCAGGCTGACCCTCAGCTCCCAACCTAACGGCTGGCTTGATTGAACCAAGGCCTCACACCTTTGCATCAGAAACAGTGAGGACATTAACAACTCTGGCGAGCTCAGAAAAGCAAGCACAGTGCTGTCAGCCTTGAGCACGCTGCCACGGGTCAGCCATAACTCAGACTGCAGGAGGAACGCAGCACTGGGGCAGTCAGTCACGAAAAGATCAACACCACGTGGGGATGTGGAACATGATCGTTTAAGTTCAAGGTTGCTTTCCTTCAAGCAAAGCTGATATCCAATCTGTTAACTATGTCCAGTCTGTCATTCTGTAAAGTACACTTCTATTATGGAAGAGCTTCCCACACTTGAATTACACACGCAAGTAAATCCTGACAGCTTACCTGTGCACACCGTCCTAGTTCTCTCCTGTTCAGATACTGAAATATATTGATTGCCAACTCATAAGGCAGTTGGATATCAAAGAAGGGAACATCATCCATTTCATTCTGAGGAGGAAAAAAAGAAAAGAAATATTAAAATTCTGAGACATGAATATGCAGGCCCTTTAAATGATCAGCAATGGCCTTAGGTGGTGACAAGAGAGACAATGCTGATACCAAGGAGAAGCAGTGTTCTCACTATTCCACGGAGCACAGTCATAGAACTCATTCAGACCTTATAGCCACTCTCAAATCTCTGACCCCCACATGCATGTGAGGTCTCCTCAAATCCACTTATAAACTCCACAAGACCATGTCACATAACGAATCAAAAAGGAGCAGCAGGGGTGCCATCTCACAAGCTGAGGGGCGCCACGGCAATCAGTGCAGAGGCCTGTGGAAAGCCTCTCAACATCTCAGGAAAGAGGAGTGGCAGGAAGCCAAGAAAGAGCCTTGAAACCAGGGAGGGAAGCCACTGATCCTTCCAGGACAACTGCTCCTGTTCCCCAACCTAGACGGGAGTGCGTGTCCATAGCAGAGAAATGCTGACCTAGGTTACTGCAGTGTTTCCTCCAAGAAGAGGGGGACAGGGCTATGAATGTGAGCAGAAAGTACATAAACGAGGTGCTGCTCCTGAGTAAAGTGAGCACGTCCCCCCTCGGCCACAGAAGCACAAGGTTTCCTTATGCACTCGGGGGCTTGCGCTGGTTAACCGAGTGAGCCAGTGCAAACAAAGCCGTTTCTTCTTCGGTGTCATTTATTAATGCGGAGAAATCAGAGCTCGCCTGCCTTTGGATAAGCAATTAAGGATGAGGTAACAGGCTTTATCTGAGAGATAAGGCTGTCATGACGATCCTGGTAGCACAAAGAAATATGAGCATGAAACAGGAAAAAGGCCAAGTGTGCACATGTATCCCTCTGCCCGTTCCTGAATCCACCTGCCAAAGCTCGCTTTGGAGTAGGCTCCTGTGAAACTGGGGAAAGCGGCACTCTTTGTCCCAACAGAACTTGCTTAACGAAATTCACTTCTAGTAAGCTCTGGCTGACATCAGTGACTTACTGGATACAAACAAAAGTATTAATTCACCACTCAAATACAACAACTGTATACTGTAAGGCTGCATGGAAAGTCTCGGCGTGCTAAGGCACCAAGAATCAGGGTGAAGATTTTTCTGGAATTGTGTTTCCATTCATCTAGGACTCTCAGGGTTCAGAGTACCCAGGGCATAAGGAGGTAATGTATTCAACTGCAAAAACAGTGCAAGGCTAATAAGCATGAAGGCTAAGAAGCCTCTCTAGAGGGAAAGGGAGGGAGGGCTGACAGTTCTCGGCGGGTAAAGGAGGAACAGAATGTTAAGTCAGGACAGAAGTGTTGGCTGTACCTAAAACAACAGGAAAAAAAATCTGCAAGTGTAACTGAAAGACAAAAGGGATCCCTGCCTAAAAAAATAAAGGAAAGTCATTGGTCAGGCTAGGTCCCCTCCTACAGCTAATCGACTTTACCCATCAAGAAAAAGAGGCATCACTTTCTCTCTGCCCAGATCCAACTTTAGACGCCTTATTATAACGGTGGAGGGAGTCAACGAAAGCTGCACACATTACAAGACTATCATTCACAACCCTGGACTTCCTTTTCTTTTTTGGATTATTTGACTACAGTGCAGTGGAGAAGTCTATCTTAAACATTCAGTAGAGAAGCAAGAGAAAAAAAAAATGTTCCCTGTCCTATACAAGCAGAATAAAGGCAAAGTCTGCATTCATGCAAACTGAACTCATAATTAGCTTCTTTTTTTTTTTAATCCACTGCCAGCAACGTGCCAGGCACTGTTTTCTTTGATCATCCCTTCAGAACTCCCTACAAACTGGTGTCCAGATTTGACATGACTGGGATGAACAGTGAGAAATCATCTCTATTTTTCAGTTTTGTTGGTGCACAAAAGCCACAGTTCTGGTGGCAGGTGCCTGCTCCCTTTTGCCTATTCAGTTGGCCAGTTCTCTCTTCTCTTCCTAGAAAACAAGGCCTCTGCCTTAGCATACTCCAGACTCTGCCACCATCTGTCCTGACACCAGTGACCTCTGGGATGCAGTACCACCTGGGGGTTTAGAGTTCAGATTCCAACTGGTTGTCCTGGCTCTGCCATCTCATTAGCCATGAGACCAGGCTATACGCAACTGACTCTCAGCTTCCTCATCTGCGAAACAGATGTGAGCATACCTACTGTGTTATTCACAGGGCAGTTATAAGGATAAAGTGAAATAATTCACGGAAAGGACTTGGCACAAGTACCCAAGGCTAAGCATGCAATCATCAATTATTACAATTACTATTTTCTTTCCTTAAATGGCATATCCCAGGCCCCTTTTTTTCCTTCAACAAGTATTTGTTGAGGTCCACATTCCACTTGGCCCCCCACACAAGCTTGTTTCCACAGAAAGCTGTCTCCCCTTGTCACACAATAAGCAGCTGGCGGTCGACAACAGTGGAAAGGAGCGGCAGAGCAGAGGCCGCCACGCAGGAGTCTGAACACTGAACACACCCACACAAGGCCTCCTCCAAAGCGGCTTTCACAGAGTCACCAGGGCTTCCCTGGTGGCTCAGTGGTGAGGACTCTGCCTGCCAATGCAGGAGACACGAGTTCCATCCCTGGTCCAGGAAGATCCCAACTGTCACTAGAGCAACCAGGCCCACGTGCCACAGCTATGGAGCCCATGCTCCACAATGAGGGAAGACAGCACACCACAACTAGAGAGGAGCCCCGGCTCACAACAACTAGAGAAAAGTCTGTGCAACAACAAAGATCCAGTACGACCAAACATAAAATAAATAAATTTTTTAAAAACAGAATCATCAATTCTAGATGGTTATACCACAGTAATAACTACAGAAGTATCTGCTCCAGTGCTCACTGGATGAAAATGAGGAGGCCAGCAGGGTGTGAACCACCAGTCAGGGGTGTTAGGGCTCCCAACAATCAATCAGAGACTGCACACTGGTCTCACTGATGACACACAGTTCTGATGGTTCTTGATCACTTACCAGTTCTAGAGGGTAACAACTGCTTCGAAGCACTGAATTATAATTATGTAAACACCAACAGCACAAAGCCAACTTTTTTTTTAATCCCTGTGCTCTGAGAATTATTATCTAAATTTCAAAATGATGGTCAATCCCAAACAGCTCAAGTGCCAGACTCTTGTGTTAACAAGCTTCCCTGTTGCTACCACTGGCTGGGAATGGCAGGAAAAAGCATAAAAGAAACCAATATATTAAAGAGAGGTCCACATTCCCACACCTTAAGAAATATGTAGACCCACAAGGTCAGGAGACCAAATGCTGCAGTTTCCTGTTGCACACTTGGAATCTTTCTGGCAAGACATTCTCTCATTGGCTCTTGTAGTGGAGGCTGTGATGGGTCACTCAGTTTCCCTGTCTGGGTCCACGACACTATCCCCCCCGAGGCCCAGGATGCTGCCTGCCACTGGCTCATAGCTGCGTCCCTTCCCAGGCACGCCCTGGGGCAAACAAGCTGCCTCATTCTAGGTCACACTCCCTCTTCAAGGGCAGTGTGCAGCCAATGACCTTTCAATGGCTGAGTAAAAAGGCCTCAATATGGGACCCCTTAGCAAGGCCAACCCAGGAAACCACCTGCATGCAAACCTCTATCTCAGAGTCTGGAAAATCCTACCTTTATTCCAAAGCAGTCCTGTGTTCAACACATTCCCAAGAGTTCTTATGCACAACTCCAGTGTCATTAAGCTAGACAACCTACTTTACTTTCCACTAAGGAGGCAACAGAGAAATGTACGTTAGAGTGACATTATTACATCAAAAACCAAAAAACTACAGAGGAGCTTCAAGGTTAAATAAATCACTCATAAACTTCACTTTGTTGTTACTAGTAACATACCACTTGGGAAACACCTTACAAAAGATTGAGAGTTATGAGCATGTTTGATCCTGCGGTTGAAAATGCAACCCTTTTATAGGTACAGCATGACTGGACAAGGAGATAGAGCCACATCCTGGACTGAGGCTGCAGTCCACTAACCACGTATAAATTAACCACAGCAGCAGGAAGGTCCTAAGTGTCCTCATTTGGTACTTCCCACAGTTCATAAATGTAAGTAAAAATGATAATAATAATACTTGCTACTAGTGTGCACAGAAATACCTTGTAACCTGAAAGGCGCCACCACAAACTCTACCTAGACTGTTTTGAAGCATGTGCCGTTGTGCTCAGTCGCGTCCGACTCTTTGTGGCTCCACAGCAGCCTGCCAGGCTCCACTATCCATGGACTTTTCCAGGCAAGAATACTGGAGCAGGTTGCCATTTCCTACTTGACTCAAGGATTAAACCTGCATCTCTTGTGTCTCTTGCACTGGTAGGTGGGTTCTTTACCACTAGTGCCAACATACCGCTACTCCAAAAGTTATTGGCCACATTAACCAATTATATCTGTACTAACTTAAATATGGAAATGGACAAGTTGTCATTTCAGAAACTAAGATATCCTAAGAAGAAAACAGACACTTGAAGGGTTTCCCTGATGGCCCAGTGGTGAAGAATCTGCTTTGCGATGCAGGTGACATGGGTTAGATCCCTGGTCAGGGAAGATTCCACATGCTGTGAAGCAACTAAGCTTGTGCACCACAAGTACTAATCCAGCGCTCTAGAGCCCAAAAGCCACAGCTACTGAACCCACACACTGCAACTATTGAAGCCCGTGCACTCTAGAGCCCACGCTCTGCGATGAGAAGCCACTGCAACGAGAAGCCTGCACACTGCTAGGACGAGCAGCCCCTGCCTGCTGCAACGAGAGAAAGCCTGCCCAAAGCAACAAAGACCCGGAACAGCCTAAAATAACATAAATCTCCGAAAAAAGACATTTGAAATATTATAGGAAACTTTGTCATACTGTAAAAGTGTTAGTATGACTACAAAGTTTAGAGAATAATTTAGGATGGCCAAATCTATGGTACAGAAGACCATTCGGAAGACCAATAAATTTAAAGTATTAATATTAATATGTACATGCTTGACTGTGTTTGATTCTTTGAGACCCCA